AGCTGAACTGAAAAAGGAAACATTATACAGTACAAAATACAATGTCTCATTATTGTGCACTGAACCCCAAAGTTCCTGTCTGCCTTGTACTTTGACGACCAAAGTGACCTGCGACCACAGTTCCACCTCTCCAGACCTACAGTAGCCCATCTCGTTCACATCCTCTTGACCATGGCTGGGGTCATAACCTGAAGGTTCTCGTGTTCCTGTTTTGGTTGACAAGTGCAACTTGTTACCGTGTGTCAAGAGCATTTGGCATCTCACTTGCCACAGTGGAATAATATCATCCACAGGGCTGCACAGGTGCTGACTTTGAACGTGTAGCTGGATCTGCAGAATTTGCAATGGTTGTGGGCAGCATTGATGGCTTATTTAATACTTCAACCGGAAAATGATTTTATTCTGTTCAGATGCAAGCAACGTGCGACCACCTGTGTCAGTTTCTGGACAATCACATCTGTCCAGAAACTGACACAGGTGGTCACAGGTGGTCAGCTACCCAGGCTTAGTCCATGATGCCAGAGTTCTTAAAAACAGCCCTTATATGTTCAGTGACTGTACCCACCTGAAGGCTATTTTATTCTAGGGGATGGTGGATATCCTTGTATGTGCCATCACACTCACAACACCTTACTGGGAGGCGGCGAGGAAAACAGGAAACAGGAAACTGAAGGGTTGTCTCTCCTGGCTGAGGGAATGAGGCATGGAGGCTGGATGGACAGCCTGCCATCCATTGCCTCATCCATGAGAGAAAACCACTTGCATGTTCCAGCAGTGTGCTCCCCCTGATTCAGTGCAACTCCCTGTTGGCGGCCTCCTAAGCTCTTGCACACGTTGCAATTTATATAAAATATTGTAGTGCACAGTTCATGTCAAATGCTAAATACAGCAAATAAAAAAAAAACTCAAGGAAAACAGTAAACGATCTTTCATCAATGCTTTCATTATCTAGGGCTGCTCAGGCAGGAGTCTCTAAGCCAGCAAGGCCTGTCTCTTTCAACACAGCTCTACAAAAATATAATAAGTATATTAAGAAACAACAAACAAATCTGGCAGCATCATTAAAAATTATGGTAGCAATTTAGTCAAAAGATAAAAGAATGTGATATAACTCACTCCCATCCAGCTGCAGAGGCAGAACGTTCCCCTGAGAAGAGGTGGTCCCTCTCTCTCCTCAGTCATCGTTGGTCCCTGAAGAGATTAAAATAAAACTGACTGTTTTTGACTGTTTACCGATTGTAATTTCTCTGCTTACGAATAAAAAAAAACATAGAGCCCATTAGCGGCAAGGCCAATGGAAATTAAGTTAATGTAGAGAAGAGAGCATACTTAGCTAATGCTAGCGAGCTGGATCGCAACAAATTTCAACTTGTCATCGAAAGTTAAACAGAAATTTACTTCCATTTGTACGAGAGATTGCGCTGCTCTCTCTCCTCTCGTCTGTCTGCCATTGTCTATCAGTGCAATGCATGATGGTTTATACCACTTGGTTACTGACCATCGGTTGTACACTACTTTTTACAATGCATTCTGGTGTACTTTGAGTCCAATAATTCTCACTTTACATTCGGACGGCACTGTAAAATGGTGTGTTCAGTATATAATTCATTATATGGTGAACGCACAACATTGTGTGCTCAGTCCTCAGTTTGATGTGTACACATGTGCTGTTGGCTATATTAAGTGATTTCCAGTAAAGAGACATCACAATATAAAAGATGGCTTTTCTGTTTGAAAAGTACAAACGTAGGAAGATAGCAAATACTCACCATAGACACCCATCTTTTACTTGAGTGGATACTTATGAAGTCTGATCATGATGAAGAGCTGGTACTTGGTACGTGATTTGTTTACATGATGTAACAGGACTGCAAATTTAACAGATTCAGTATTCATTCATTCATTAATAATTCAGTGTGGACAGACGCGATGCAGCTCGATAGCCGGACACTTGCAGACACCGTGCTGCAGTATAATATCTATTTTTCTTACTGTCGACATGCCCAATGAAACAACCCACTGTTACCTACAACTGCTATCTGAACCCCCTAACCCTGAAATACAGTTACAGGCTTGTGCTGCACAATACTAATAATGATCCTAATACTAATTCATATATTCACTAATTAATCTGACATTTATTTGATAAAATGTTTTGGCTTGCTGTTCTTGGTTCCAGAAAAAAAAATATATAGAAAAAGGAGAAACACAAACCCAAGAGCTTTAAAAAGTTAAAAAACCCACCATACTAAAAACTATGGTTTTCTAAGCTAAAGCTAGTTAAGCTTGTAGCATCAACCAAGCTAGATGGCTAGCTTACTAGCTAGCTAGGAAGTATTAGAAAATCTAAAATTGCATACGATGGTGATACTAATCTGAAATGTACAGGTTATTCCGTAACACTTTAACTGTTAGCTAAATGGCTAACTAGCTAGCTGATCACGTTAACGTCTAGAATAGCATTAAGTCATTTTCTTATAACTATGTTTTGAAAAAGAAAAACAACTTGGAAAAGTCACCTTGGACTCGGGAATTATAATCTGCATTTTGTACTATTTTCTGATGTAAACAAAGGGATTAATCTGGAAAATCAGATAATGAAGATAAACACTGGTTACAGTCCGTATCCATCTGCTCCTTCCTGTTTGTTTAACATTAGCTAGCTAGCTACAGTAAATGTATACATTTTCTTGGGCACAATGAGACAAGATGCAGAAAAACAGCTAGGTTACTACAATAGGTACTGCTAGATAGAAACTGTGATTACCAGCAAAACCTCTGCTGATTTCAACGTCTTACCTTCGATATGTGCAGTGAAAAGTGTGAAACTGCCTCTCACCCTTGTGCTGTTCATGATGTCCATTACTGTGAAAAGCAACACAGGGCGGCGTTAGCGTCTCTCTGTCTTCACACTAAACCTCTCCTGGTTAAATATAAACAATAAATTAAATATTTTAAATGAGCAATTCAATTTGTTTTTGCTTTTAAAGAATTTTAATATTATTTTAAATGGAGTTCTTCCTAAAGCGCTTCTTCTTTTGCCCTCATGAATGACTGGCTGAGTAGCCAATCAGGACCTCGCACAGGGAAGCTGTTTCTGTTTCTATCAATTTGATTTGATTTTATAGTTAGAAAAGCTTTTTACCACTTTATTACACCCTTTTAAGACATGCAATATTAAATTATGTTTAATATGTGTGTTATCAATACAAGAGCAACACAATGTGGTAATTTGTACCACTCCAACTTTATTGAACTTCTTCTTGTTAGACAAACCCAGGCTGCTTTTTCCAATACACTTTTGCATATTGTCAACTCTCAAAGAAGCAGTAGACCTTTAATTATTAATCATAAAAGCTAAATATAACAGAACATAACAGAGAAGGACATAACAGATGGGTACTCTGTGATTTAATGTTTAATAATGCTGAGGTTTGGACTGTTGGTTGGACACAAGAAGCGTTGTGAAGGAGTCACTTTGGGCTCTGGGTAACTGTGACGGCAGAATCTTTACAAACCAATCAATCAATGGATTGATGGAGAAAATAATCAGCAGATTGATCCAAAATGAAAATAATTATCAGCTGCAGTCCGATACTAAACAGTTCAGAATGAGCTTCCGCTCACATCCTGCTTTACATTAATGCATGAGGAATAATAATCTGATCTGAGAATATAACAACATGCACACTTAATCTAAGTATAAATTATAATTATCAAATTATAAAATAATTTCCAGTGGCAGTATAGCTGAAGAAGCCTCTTGGATGAGAGGCGAAATGTCTGAGTATCTTCATCAAGTCCAGTTGCCCTTGATTTTTAAACATACCTTGGTTATAACTATGACCTGGATGAATCTTCAGAGTACAGCTGAGGTTTCTATCTGGGTCACAGAATCTGGTGTAACACCTGTTGGGTCCTTGTGGTTTGTAAATACTCCCATCTACTGGTCACCTGTCACAACATGTGAAGCTGGTTGCAAGAAGCTTTGGTTTCGAGCCATCGCTAAGCTTGTCCAGTCATGTTCTCATCACCTCAGAGATATTGCAAAAGTAAGATCCAGTTAATATTTTAGAGATGCAGAAACTGTTCATTTCCTCACAACTTGATTATTGCCTCTTCTCGTCTTACTCAAAAAACGACTATAGAGCACGCAGAACTCAGCTGCTTTAAACCTGAACCAGGAGGTCACACCTGTTTTAGCCTCTTTACACTGGATCCCTGTTTGTTTTAAGATATTACTTTTAAGGCTCTCCATGACCTGGCTGGAAATTATTTTTTGGAACTTTTAATTCCTTATGGACATTTGCGTAGTTTCAGATCTTCAGGCAGGGGTCTCCTGTCTCTCCCCGAGTCTAAATCTAAAGGGGAGAGCTTTTGCCGCCAGGACCTTGAGGTTGTGGAACGACCTGCTGAGGAAATTTGGCGGTCACAGTCAGTGTCTTCTTTGAAGTCTCTTCTAAAAACACTTCTATCAGAAAGCATGTCCTGATTTTATCTGAGCCGCCTGCTTATTTTAATGTTTTATTATATTATTTCTTACTTTATTTTTATTGTATTTTCTTCAACTCGATAATAAATCTTCACTTTTTTTATTAAGTAGCTTGTCCCGTTATCTCAAACACAAACAGAATTAAATGTAAGAGATTTAAAGTTAAGAGTTTACAGGTGGCAGTCTCAGTACAGATTTTGTGATGAAGTCATTTAAAAAAAGGAACATTATGGGCATTATGGGTTCGTCATTTGTTTACCACCAACAATAACTATTTTTATCACCAACGCTCACCAAATCTACAACCCCAAATCTGCTTTATAATTTCTAGTGCAGCTTTCGAGTTGTTGAACAAATATTTTGGGGAAAGTTGGTATACTTGATCCAAATGTTAAAATCTGAAATATTGATTGCCGCTTGTCCTGTAAAATATGTCAAACATTGAGGATTAGTTACAGCAGAGACTTCAGAGGGTTAAAGGCAACAGTAAATAAAAAGAGAACAGAAACAGATTTAAGATCCTGGTGCTTTATTGTCCTCAATTCTGACACCGACAGCTTGAGTGAGAAGCAAAGAGAGAAGGAAGAAAGAACAAAAGGTGACCGACAGTTTCTGATACAGAAAATACACTTTATGTATTTCATGGAATGAAGATTTATAATTGAGTTAAAACGCAAAACCTGGAAGAGACTTCATCACCAGCGAGCCGAGGAAACAGGTTCCTCTGACGTCCAGCGTGGTTATGAAAAAAAAAATAAAAAAAAATTATATTAACATTTTGAAAGAACCACTGGCCCGAAGCTGAAACAAGTTGGGGAACCTAAAATAAAGCCAGGGTTTCTCTTGATCCTGTTAACATTAATATATTTCAGCCACACTGGATACAAAAGAGTCAGAAAATGGAAATATGTAGAAAGAATTAAACATAAAATAATTTTTAATGGTCATTAAAGCAAATGTTGTAAATAAAAACAAAAATACTCCCTAAAAGTAATTTTGCCATGAAACTACAGCTGGATTCATGGGAATATTGTTTCTTGAGATGTGTATAATGTACTTTTAGGCCAGAAACACGTTTAACTAAAACAAAATAAGATTTTAGGATCTTTTCACCCAGTAAAGACAAGAACTCGTAGTAATAAAAACCAAAAACACAAATAAGCCTGAAACATCCTGAACCTGAAGAATCCAGTTTGTTAATAACCATGACATTTTTTTCATCTGCAGTGAAACGACTCCAGTTTGTTTCTTACAAGCAAATCAATTTGATATTTGAGACTTTTTGCACCAATTATTATTTAAAGCAGAGAATTAAACCCCACCGCTGGACTAAAACATAAAACAGTACTCGTGGAGTTCCTCAGGGCTCACTACTGGAGCCATTTGTGTTGAATTTGTACATAAATTACATTCTTCTAAAAAGGTTATGAAGTAATTTATGTTCCCAAAAACATGGGCTCTGAGGAACAGACAATTTGTGAACCAAGTGATTAATTTGTTTAATTAATCAAATTAATAATTAATTAATTAGGTTTTAATTTGATTCACACTGACCAAAGATGAGGCCCATTTCTTTGACCTTAAATATTAATGTCAGTGCAAAAATCTCAAATATGAGGCTGGTAACGAACGTCTGATACACGAAGCTCACTGATGAAATGAAGGAAACATCTTATTTTTGAATCTTCAGATTTCAGCTGATTCTCTGGGTCATTTGAACAAAGCCAGATGTTTCTCACGGTGTAAAAGCCTTCAGACGTTCAGACCAACAGTTTTTATTCCTACTTTACTGTGTAATGTTCCAGATGTTTGTTTGGATTCACTAGTTTGGTTTCAGTGACGGAGGAATCACTCAGTTTTCAGTCTAACAGCTGTTTCAGGCAACATCTGGAGAAATGAAATAAAGAGCTCCAACTATTCAGGACGTTTCCAAAACATTTAGCAACGTGTTGATTTCCAAAGCGACCAAAGTGTGGAGGAACAAAAGCTCGAAGCTGAGGAAGTTACCAGGTGGTTGACAACAGATGTGATACCTGCAGACAGTTTCACCTCCTGTACCTGGTTTCTCTTTAAAAAAGGAAGTTTAATGTCTTTAAAGCACAAAGAGAAAAATAATCCATAAAGACGAAACATCGTGATTCAGCTTTTTATCTTTTTATGTTTCTTTACAGGCGTTTTACCGTCCATGAAACTGGAAATCCTTTGAGCAGATCCAGAGAGATCCAGTTCCAGCGCCAGTAAATCTTATTCTTAGTGAAATTAAAGAGTACAAGAATCATGCGTCCGTCTTCTCGGCGAAATTAAACGACACTCTGAGGCGGCAAACCAAACAAATCCTTAGAAACCTGAAGAAACGGGACCTTGAAGAACGCTGCTGATGGGATGTTCTGGGGGGGTTGAGTCTTTGGATGAAGCAGGTTTCCTGATGGAAAAATGCGGGTCGGTCGAGTCGCCCTCATTTTAAACCTCGTTCAGTCACTCACAGTGTTTTGCAAGAAAAGTCTTTCAAGATTGTCCGCCATTGTGTCTTTGACATCATCATCATCAGTGCACAGTTACAGTCTCAGAGTCCGGTCCAGTCCTGCTGAAGCGTGCTGGATCAGCTCTACAGTGTCATGATTCAAGAGTCCTAGCTCTGACCAGTTCAGTACCTCGAGTCTCCACAGACAGGAAGCAGAAATGAAAAAAACAAAATAAGGGACACGTCTGAGGTCGGGGTCACACGAGAGTCTGTTCAAACTCCGCTCATCAAAATGACTGATCCCATCAAAGCTCCTTCAGGGGAAAACTAACTTTACAGAGCAACTTCACATCCTGATTCAGCTTCAACGCCTCAGGAGACCAAAAAAAAAAAAGTAACTTTTTATTGTTTGAGGGTGCAGGCGGCCATCTTGTAAACTCATAGTAGATTGAGGAGCTGTCCATGATTGAGCCGCAGAGGATCCGGCAGATCAAACTCGAAGCTTCACTTGATGTTAAAGAAACATTCTGCGTGTTGGAGAAACAACAGGAGACGTGTTTTTAAAGTTGAGAAGCTGAAGTCCTAAATCAAATCCGTTTCCTCAGAAAGTAAGGAACCAAAAACCAAACTGTTGTGATGTCGTTACTGAACCTCAGCGGCACACAGACAGGCGAGTCTGTGTCTCTGCCAACGCTCAAGGTGAACTTAGTGAACGGCGTTGTTTCAGTCAAAAATGTGATCGATACTTGGTGGTGAAAAACAAACAGAGGTTCCCGTGTGATCCGACCTTGAAATGTGTTGATCTTCGGCACCAAACCATCTGGACATGTTTTCAGCTGCAGCTTTAATCAGGAGGAGCTGCAGGTTGTTTTTCTCCCGGGAAGTTCCTAAAGCTCCACGTGAAGACTTTCACAATAAATGTTCATATACGGGACGTAACAAAGCACTAAAACATAAAGCTTAGTCTTCAGTGAACTGGATTGGTTGTTTTGATCATGTGATCTGCAGCACCAGGACGGGTCGTTGTCTGCTGTGGTCGTGGTACTGGTTCCGTTTCGGTGAGACCGGCTCTCGGTGTTGAGGCGGGTCACCGTCTCTGCTGGCTGTAGACGGGGAAGGCCAGCGTGACGTTGAGCGAGTCGTTGTGTTGCACCAGCGAGGTGTGCTGGTAGTGCAGCACCAGCTCCTTCAGAGACCCGTACAGGTTGTAGGGCTCGGCGAAACCGAAACCGGTGCCGGTCTTGTTGATGACGCAGTGCTTCACCTCTCCGTCCACACTGAGGGGGACAAAGACACACGGAGGTTAGATGAGACAGGTGAACAACATTAAGCAACAAGTGGCAACAGACGGGTAAACCAATAAATAAAGAAGTAAACCAATAAACCAACTAGGTAAATAAAGAGGTAAACCACTAAATAAACTAGGTAAACTGTAAATAAACTAGGTAAATAAAGAGGTAAACCACTAAATAAAGAAGTAAACCAATAAATAAAGAAGTAAACCAATAAATAAAGAAGTAAACCAATAAACCAACTAGGTAAATAAAGAGGTAAACCAACTAGCTAAATAAAGAGGTAAACAAACAGATAAACAGGTGAGTCTTACACCACAGAGCAGGCGTAGCAGCCCGGCTTGCTGCTGTCTCGGACCAGGAAAGTCCCGTCCCTCTTCCCGCGGAGCAGCGACTCGGCCTGAGTGCGGTTGATGTTTCCTAAACGCCACAGACGCTCATCGTGGTGAGGAAGGTCCTCCTCATCCTCCACCATGCTGTACTCACTGAGGAGGGGGGGGGGCAGAGGACACGTTAGCAGGACAAACACACGAGCTCGGGATGCTAACAAATGTTCATGCTATGATTTAAGTGCAGAGAAGAAGTCGTGAACGTCGCCCCCTTGTGGTCAAACCAAACATGTTCCGTTTCCATGGTAATAAATCACTGAGTTTATAAAGTCTCTAAACTGGCCGAACGGTAACGTCTTCACTGAGGGGCCACTTACTAGCCTTTTTTAAAGAGAAATATTCCTCTGCTCCACAAAAAGCTTTAAACGGACCTTTAGCACAGATTTTTAGTTTAGTCAAAATCAATAATTAATTTGCAGTGTAAAAAGTTTACAATTAAAAAGCAAAACGGGACGACGGCAGACTTCGATCGATAATGACATTTTAATCTAATTAATCAGTGGCAGATTTATTTTATTATATTTTCATTACTGATCAATAGGTCAGCTATTTTTTCTTGATTCGGTCTATAAAATGTAAGAAATTAGAGAAAAAAAAAATGTACTGAAACTGTCAAGATCCTCAGTTTACTCTCACAGATGACAAAATAAAGCTGGAGTCTGACTAATCTACAAATAAATCTTAGCTGACAATAAGCTTATGATTATTGTCATAACTGTTGTTTAAGTTATAAAATGGTGAGATTTAAGAAGCTGGAACCAGGTGATAAATTTCAGAGATGACTGGTCGACTATTCGCAGCTCTTGTCAAAGTAGTTGACTTATTTTCTGATTTGTTAATTTGCTGATGTTGGCGGTGGCGTGCACTGCTGCCTGCCACAGTGTCCTTCTTGCTGCCACCACTGGGGGGCACCAAAGACAGACTTTAAACTTCAGGTTCAGTTTATCAAACTTACTCCTCTGTGGTCTCGTTCTTCAGGCCGAGCCACTCGTTCAGTTTCCTCTGACGAACTCCCTTCTGGGTCAACCACCTGAAACACACACACAGCAGTTAGTGTAACGTGTTGAAGCTCACAGCCTTTAACGTGACCTCCGTGTGTTTCGGAGTCTCTTACATGAGGTACTGGTCCCTGGTCTTGCGGAGCTGGATCAGGTCCGGTTTGATGCTGTTCATCTTCTTGTCGATCTCTCTGTAGTCGGCGGCCTGTTTCTTCAGGTCCACCTCCAGGTGTCGCTTACTGTCCACGATCTCGCTGATCCGAGACTTCAGCTTCTCGTAGTTCTCCATGATCCTGTGCAGAGATTAAACCAATCAGACCAGCCACAGTATGAAAGTGTGACGGGGATTTCTGTCATGTGACCAACTGAGGTCAACACCGAATGTCTTCCTCCTCCGTCTCTTTCCCAGCAACAACACACACACTTTGGTCTTCTGATGAACTTTATTTTAATTTGCTTTCTTTGGTGTAAATAAAAGATGAATCGTTTTGTTTGAAAGCTGCTCCTACAGGAAATCTAACAAATCCCTCTGTAAACTGGTCCAAACTGGTCCTGATGTGGGCGTTTATCTGTTGGCGTCCTTCACCCTCCACTGAAATGACGTCATGCTTCTGCAAACATGAACACTGATCCCACTGGAGCCTGTTACTCACAGCGAGTCCGTCTGACTGGAAGAAAAACCGTTTTGCTTCTGAATAAAAGATAAAGATCTGGTCCCGGCTGCCTACCTCTGGATCTCTTTGTCGTTTCCCTCCCGACGAAACTTCTCGATGTACTCTTTGCTGAAGCGCTCCTGAGTCTGACACTGCTCCTCGAAGATCTTTATGGTCTCGTTGAACGCCTCGATGGCCGTCCTCTTCATCTGGATCTCCTGGGGGACGAAGAGGAGAAAATCTGTTGTAGTGCATCTGTAGTGTTTCCATCTTTGTCGAGGTTGTAAACCAGCTCATGGTACTTCACATCTCTTTTAACCAGTAACAAAGTACATTTACTACAATTAAAAAAAAAAAAAGGTGTACCTCTTTCTGTACTGTACTTTTTGCTTCATGGTATTTATTTAATAACGATGTATTATGGATTAGGATACAACTGTATTGATCTGCAGGGGAACTCCTCGAGCTACACAGCAGGTATGAAGTAATTAAAATGTAATGAACACATTAATGCATCAATAATTATAATCCAACAATATATTTTTCTGAAATGTGCCACTCTGCTTAACAAGTACTTTTACTTTTGGTAATTTGACGCTAATACTTTTGTATTTTTTGAATGGGGGACTTTTACTTGTAATAAAAGTATTTCTAACTTTTACTCCATGATCCGAGTATTTAAATGGTTGTGATTACTGCTCTGCTTCTATCTTTTACTCCTCTGAATGTTTCTTTTTAGTGATTTATCCTTTCATCACATGTTTGTTTGTTCGTGTCTTTTATCTCGTTTCATTATTTTAAGTGAAGAAAAAATATCTGGTCACAGCTGCAGTGGTGTGTTTCTAACATCTGTATGAAAGCCTGATGACGGGAGTATTGTAGTGTCTCCTAGTGTCCCCTAGTGGCCCCTGTAGTGTCCCCTAGTGGCCCCTGTAGTGTCCCCTGTAGTGTCCCCCGTAGTGTCCCCCGTAGTGTCCCCTAGTGCCCCTGTAGTGTCCCCTAGTGTACCTGTGAGGTCCTGGTGTACTCTTCGTACAGTCTGTCGTACTCGCGGTTCTTCTCCTGGTACTGCAGGTGATACTCGTGGAGCTTCTTCCCCACAGCTTCGATGCTGTCCTCCTTCACCACCTGGTCCTGAACAACAACAACAACGAGGGGACCAATCAGACGACTCCACAGCTGACAGACCAACACGATAGAAACACAGGCGGCTGCCCGTCACACAGTCTACAGACCTGCTGGTGTTTGGAGACCGGGTACAGCAGCTTGACGTCCAGTTTGGGGTTGTACTGGGCGAGGGACTCGTGGCGGTAATGGTTGATGAGCTCCACCACCGAGCTGAAGGTTAGGGGGTCGGAGAAGCCGTACTTGCCCTCCCGATGGAAGATCTTTATCAGTTTGTTGTTGCCTCCTTTCCTGCAGGTGGACAGAGAAGAAAATTGATTTAAATTATAGACTTTAATTCAATCAGACTTTGTTTGGCGTTGATGAGTCGGACAGTCTACCTCAGAGTCAGAGTGTAATCTCCGTGCATCTTAGTGGAGGCGTCTCGAACCAGGAACGTGCCGTCAGCTGTGTCTCTCAGCTTCTCGTTCACTTCCTCTCTACAAAACACAAACGCATCATCACTCTGTGAACCTGCAGCCATTTAGAAGCCTCAACTGGATCCTGACTGGGATCCTCTTAAACGCCAGGGATCGGTCATGTAGTCCGGCACGAGTGAATGATTCTTAACGGCTGTCTATTCTTAACGGTCCATCAGAGGTCGGCCACTGGGAAGCAGCTCAGGCTATAAATGCTGTGGTAGGAGGAGTTCCCGCTACAAATAAACGGTAAATAAAACCAATAAATGTGTCCGTATGTTCTCAGGGAGTCTGAGTGAAAGGTCCCCAAACTGGCTGCCCGCATTATCATCAACATCATAAATGTGTGTAAAATGTACAACTGTGAAATAATGAACCGTAAAATTAGAGCTTTAGAAAGCCACATCTTTTAATCTGCACACGAAATTAAATGCATTTTATTTTAGCATTTAGCCTGGATGTACATCGATCAGCCAGAACATTATGACCACCTGCTGGTCGCTCAAATCCTCAGGCTCTCGCTTTTTTTTTCCTGCTTCTAACACATCAACATCAATGAGGACACAATGTTCACCTGCTGCCTGATCGATCCCGCTCACTGACAGGCGATAACCAGAGTTACTCACTTCACGTGTCGGTGGTCATAATGTTTTGGCTGATCGCTGCATGCATGTATGCATCCGTGTGCGTTACCTGGAAATGTCTCCCCAGTACCACTCGGCGTCCTGCAGGGAGATGCTGTTGTTGAAAGTGCTGGCAGCTGCTGGAGCCGCAGACTTCACCGGTTTAGGAGGCAAAGCTGCAACAAATACAGAGAGGGAGAGAGAGTGGGAATTAAAAGTGTGACAGTGAATCAATCACTTCAACCCGAGTTTTTAATTCTCCACACAATCTCACACACACACACTCGTTCTGGGAGTCTGTCATAAAGATCAACCACTCAGAGAGAAAGTGGAGCGATTAATAAATCATCTGAGCTCCTCACAGATCCATTAGTGTCTGTAAATGATTAGAAATGACGTTTGAGCTCATTTAGAAACAGTTTGTCCACCAGTGAGTGCTGACAAGTTGGTTTTTACTTTGTTTAAAATGTCCCACTCAGAGCACAACTTAATGTTCATAACACTGCAGCCCGACTGACGCAGCAGATACTGAAACAGGGAGTCCAAACCTAATAAAGTTGTGTCGGTCGATGGCGACTTTTAAACGATATAAACAAACAATCTCGATCAGGATCCCTCAGATTTGTGCACGTATATTTTTTTTACGCGTTAAAATAAAGTTACACCAGTTCTGTAACAAATGTGCAGTTAGATAATAACGATGCAGCTTTGAGCCCACACGACACACTGCTTTAATCCATCTTTATTATCAAAGTTTATCTTCACACACAGCTTATTAATGGGTTTTACTATTTTTTCATCATATTAATTTTGTTGTCAACAGCGACTATTAAAAATCTACCTATTAAAATGTTCTACTGTCTCTGTATGTATCTGGGCCACAACTACAGTAAAGATAAAGAAGTATTACTGGCCATGAACTGATGACGACCCCCCCCCCCCAAAAGCCCTCGTGATAAAGAAACTCGAGGTGCGCACCGACCCGTGCATTTGGAGCAGCGTCCCACCCCGTCACTGTGCTCACCAGCTGCTCGTGGACGGCGGCTTTTAAAAACCAGAACAGGAAGCTGCTGCAGGCGGACAGATAAACAACCGGCTGAAAGTCACTTCATGAAGCTGCAGATTCAGCTGATGATTCTCGACCACAGGCTCCTTTCAGTGTTGTCACATGGTCACATAACCACCTGAAGTCTGTCTTAGAACAAAATGCCCTTTTTTGGGTTTCCATGCTGAGCTTCGGTGGAGGGATACGACGACACCACACACACAGTAAAGACTCACGTTACTGTAAATGACTCGTTTTTTGTGTACTTGTACTTTAAAAATCGTTTTTATAATCTGTAATTTCACTTTTACTGAAGTATGTTTTGTTTGTCACTACATTTTAAATCCCAGCCGTTACCGAGAGTCTCCAGCTGCAGTACATCGAACCATCGCCGACCCTGCGCAGCTCGGTCCACTCCCTCTCACTGCGGACGGTCGGCGATCGTTCCCTCTGGCTTTTTACAAACAAATGGCAGAAATAGCAAGTCATGGCTCCGCTGTAGGTTTGCGCCAAGCTTGTACCACGGGTAGAGGGTAAAAGACGTTTTCATAGTTTGATAAGAGGCTTTGCTCAAATCAGCCAACAGGACATCTGTGCGTGACATCGTTAATGTTGGTTGGCACTAGCAACCTGCTGGTAACTACTTAATTATGCTTAGGCCTGTGTTAACACAAAAATTATTATGCCAACGCCTATAAAGTCCCATTAAAATGACCACCTGTCTGAATGTAGCATAAATAGAGATATGACTTCTCACACAGTCCAGCGTTTCCCCATTTTCTGGCTTTGTGCCCTCATTAATCGCAAAAGACTGCGTTTTAATTAAATAAGTAGAATAAGAAGGCCTATAAATAAATTAAAATCATTATAAATAAGTTATTTTAAGAGGTTAAAAAAAAAAAAAGTTTTACTCTTTAAATGAGCAACTTTTTACTTGAGTAGATTTTTATACCAGTAACTTCACTTAAATAACATTGATCAGTGTAACAGTACTTTTACTTAATATTTTAGTACTCGTCATTGCCAACTCTTAGCAGAACCTCCAACCTGCAGGAAACTCACATGTAGAGTCCATAAAATAAAGCCATCAGAACACATTCACAGTGCGTTTTATACTTTTACAGATTGGTTGAATAACATTCAGCCACGTTATTAAACCACAGTGTAAAGAAAAAGGAGGAGAAATCAGTTTCACCTCAGAGACAGAGTGAACAGACACGACATCAGGGAAAGAATTTAGATTTATCTACGTGGAACAACAACAAGAGAAGAGGAATTTAGTCTCTGCGGCCAAACTACGCCAGAAAAAAGCCGAGACGACCGACCAATCAGGCTGCTTGTCCGCATAGAGATTTGGGCGGCGCAATGGTCGGCTCCTCTGCGACCGATTTTTACCCACAACACCCCTCTCTCTCTCTCTGCGTAGGTTCACAAACACGTGTACGTACATCTTTAAGAAAAGCGTGCGGTTTTAAAAAGAAAAACACCTTAAATACAAAAAACACACGACAGAATTAAAATCATCACGTGCGATAAAAAGGCTCAGGACACAAACAACGACCATCCGTATCCAGTTAGACCGCCACCAGGTTTTGGTCCCCTTTAACCGCTCCAGGTTCAGGTCTGAGCTCCTACCTGGACTCTGCATGTTAATGTAGCAGAGGATCTTGTCCCGTCCCCTCACCGGCTCGGCCCTGCCTCCCTCCTCTCGCTCCATGTCGGCCCTCTAAACCTTCGCCCACCTCGGCCACGCTTCAGAGGTGAAACCAAACCCGGATCCTTCTCTGCCGGATCTCATGATGGCCCCGCGCTCCGGTCCTGCCTCGGAAAAACTGACGTCATCTGGAAGGAAACGGGTCCGGGCTACTTTCTTCAAACGGAGCTCTATTTTTTCTGTCTTTTTCGACTCTTCACTCGAATTTAAAAAGATCCTCGACTGCACTGATAACAGGAATCTGCAGGATTTCCTTTCTCTCTCTCTCTCTGCACCTGCAGGTAGATCTTTCACACGTTCACCTTCACTGAGACTCGTCTACAGCCTGGAAATTAAAAAGCCATCCTGTTGTTGCATGAATCGAACATCTGCAGAGGTCCTTCAGGGTGAGAGATTTAAAACGACGCAACTTTTTCTCCGTCCGTCTCCCTCTCTCCCTCCTCTGAAAACCAGCCTCAGTTCAAAGCTCAGGAGAGCAGCTTGGAGATGTGTGACATCACCGCCGGCCCCGGCCAATCCTGCGATGGCAGTGATATCACTGAGGCAACACCCCCTCCCCTCCTGTCCTCTCCTCTGCTGCATCTTTCACTGTGTGGATGGATGATGTCATCGTTTCAGGCCCACCGACTGACTCAGTAAACGGATGAATCACTGAATGACTGACGGACAGTTAATGAACGACTGAATGAGTAACTGCTCGCTGACCGACTGAATGATTTTATTGGTTTATTTATTACTTATTTATAAAATATCACCGAGGGGCCGCAGCCATGCTTGCAGGTCTGAGAGGCTCTTTGAGCTAAACGCTGACATGCTGATTATAAGCAGGTGTAACGGTTACCATCACATGACATTAAAACCTCGCGGGAGCGAGGCGGCGAGTCCGGCGGCCGCAGTTGCTTTTCTCCAGCTGCACAAAGCTGGAACCGTCTTTTGCCTGATCTCAGTCATTGATGGTGGTGGTAACGCAGTTGGTTTGCCAACTAAACAAGAAGAAGAATGAGGTCAGCAGCAGACTGAACAAAAAGGAGATTATTGGCGGGATGTTTTGAAGAAAACCTCCTGAAGTTAATACGCAATTACCCACATCTTTATGAGGTCTCATTAAAATAATAACCTCCTGGAGAGTCGCCGTGTTTGCTTTCGCAAATTGTCAGAAGATATTCAGGCGTCAGTCAGGGATGATCCGGCCCGGTCTGCCCCCTAGTGGATTTGCGTTTCATCCTCCCGGTACACGCAGGTAAGTATGTGAACAATGTTGTTTGCGTCGCCGCCGGTCTACAGATTGTTAAAAAGCAAGTCTATCGGGGGCTTTAAAGGCCAAAAAGGAGCGCAGCCCTGGATTCATTTCACATTTATTCATTTAGCTCATGCTTTTATCCAAAGCGACTTACGATTGCTGTTTGTGTCTGAAGTCGTTTGTGTCTGAAGTCACGTCTCTGAAGCAACGAGGGGTTAAGTGTCTCGCTCAGGGACACATTGGTTGATGTGTCACAGTGGGGGATTGCCGGGTCTCTCACGCCAAAAGCACGCGTCTTATCCACTGCTCCATCACCACCCCCATATTTTAAATCTAAACATCCTGGAAAAAGTCGTCTTCAAACAACTGGTCTCTTATTTAGATTACAACATCGTCAGAAGAACTTGTCACGGTGTTCTGACTCATGAAACGCGATGACTTTTATACCTCAAGGATGACGCCAACATGAAGAGTCACAGAAGTTACTGCAGTTCATCCTGAGGGGGAACCTGAACTTCTGAACCACATTTCATCACAATCCATCCAACAGACTAAAGATGACAGATTCAGAGGAAATAATGTCGAAACAGACTTCTGTCATCTTTAGTCCAACAGATGATCGACAACCAAGTTTCAGCACCAACAACCCTTTGTTTTATTGACAGAGGAATATAAACGCACTGTTCTATTAAACCATCAGCGTTTGATTTTGTTTCACCACAAGCAGCCGCACAAGAAGCCAACGTGTTTATAAATCTGACATTAGAAACTTTCAGCTTTTTTGAGATCCTAAACTGTCAGGACACCGTCAGGAAATCTTTATATTTATAGATTATTTCATAATATTCAGATCAGTCCTCCCTCGATAATCTCGTACGGACGGAAAATGTGACGAACAGCTGACATTGAGCAACAGCTGCGGCTCGTGACTGTGACGCAGATCCAACGTGGCGCCGCGTCGCCGCTGTTGGAGGAACGGAAAGTGATAATCGAGGACTCCGGAACTGAAGCCGTCACAGCTGAGCGGCTGTCCTATAAAAAGACACCTTGGGTTTTCTTATTAAACAGTGACTTTCTTTTCAACTTATCTACCTTAAATTCCCATGTTTGTGTGTCTACATGGGCCAACATTTTTATTTTGTTTTCTTAACTGCTCCAGTATTGAGCGAATGATCTATCCGTCCACTAAAGTCACACAACAACACAAACTAACCGACCGACAGAGGCAGCCGTAGAGCAGCAGCTCTAGTGTGCAGCCAGGTGAAATGACTGTTTTTGTTAAGGGGTGGCTTCGACGAGAGCGTTTTAACGAATGTTTCCGGTTAAACAAAAAAGGATCTCACTCTTTTTAAAAAGCTCTCTCTCTGCAGACACTTCTGAGCCTGTCAGCGGCAAAAACAAGCTCTTTAGTGGACGAACTTTCAGCCTCGTTTCGCTGCTACTGGAGCAATTACAAATATTATGATGCTCCAGTTCATCATGAATCAACATTCATATTATCATGTGGTTGCTGCCGTTTACGTTCTCATCAGATGCAAATTCACACACACACACACACACACACACACACACACACACACACACACACCTGGTGCAGCCTGGTTCATGTTGAGCTCGCTGGTTATCAGAACCTCCAGAACCTGAACCAGAGGATCCAAACCGGACTCAGACCTGAAACAGGAACAGAGACTCGCAGTCAGATTCAACACCCGAGTGATAATCTTACTGAAGTTGCAACATGTGCCAAAACCTGCGCAAACGCAAACACTCGCATTTCAAATCATTTCCAACCTTCTACCTAAACTCAACCCGCTCAGACCTGAAACATCTAGATAAAGGTTTGATTCATGAAAGCAGTTACTTTCCACCACTAACTGATGAGTCTCACACTTTTACTGTAAAGACATATTTATATTTGGCTGTGAAAGTCATTTCCACTGTCTGATGTCTGAGACTAAACTTCACATGTGATTTTAAGCTCTCGAACCTTTTCTTGATTTAGATTTTCTTCACACCTTTTAAACTTCATTTGTGCAGCTGTAGGTTCACCGTTAATTATCAAACAAGATCAGCTGCTGCGAGCTCTGTGGCGAAGGGTCGCGGTGAGGCGTCGTTTAGGGAATGTGTGTGTGTCACTGACCCTGCAGTCTGTCTGAACAGCAGTGGGCTGAAGCTCTCCGCCAGGTTTCGGGGGCTCAGCTGGTTCCTGACGGCGTTCAGACAGAGTCGGGCCAAGTGTCGGACCACGCTGAGCAGGGTCAGGCCGTACTGGGCCGGGCAGGCTGGCGAGCTGGCCACGCCACGCAGCACCTGGGCACAGTCCTCCAGGTCCCGGACCTCTGCAGACGAGCAGGAGGACAGAACTGTTAACAAACACCGACTCCACCAACATCACCTAAACTGGGTTCGGGGGGGGGCTGTAGTCTGACCTTGCACTGCGTGAATCATGTCGGCCTGCAGGGTGGAGGGGAGGACGGGGCCGGGGAGCTCCTGCAGGAACCGGACCACCCCGTCACACAGGGACGACACCTCCAGCTGCTCCAGGTCTGAAAACAAACACCTCCGTTTAACAAAAGAGGACCGGGATCTTCTGGACTCGTGGCGGCCCGGTGGGTTCGGCGGATACCCCGGACTGCTGCAGGCGTTTTAACACAACAACCTTCTTTCTTTTTTAGCCAGACATGTTTGACAGTAGAAGAAGAAAGCGGCTCTCACCGGTGTCGGCCAGCTGCCGGGTGTCCAGACCTCCTCCACCGAGACTGCGATACACACCTGGACTGTCCAGACCTGCAGCAGATAAACGACAACAGATGGTCCGACACAGCCTCGAGCTTCAGAAACACAAGCCGAGTGTTCGGCCACTTTATAAACAGACAGACGAGACGGGGATTTAACTGCAGGAGCGGTTCTCTAGTTCCAAGACTCTGGGTCTCCATGTGAACCCAAGTGGACTACAGGTGCGGTCCTCCATGACAGACCAAGATATGAAACTTTAGATGTCTACATTGATCCGATTAAAACGTTTTATTTACGTTTGTGTGTGTTTGGTACCTTTGGTCTCTATGGCCTCCATCAGTCTGCTGAGGAGGGGGGGGGCTGTGTCCGGGGGTCCAAACTGGTCTGGGAGGTCTGGCAACACGAAGCCTGAAGACAAACAACAACAAACAGGAGGACGTTAGCAAAACTCTATATGTGGACATAAAAACCGGACTAAACTAGAACTCCCAGGGTGCATCTGGATAACAACCCTCCAATCACAGCTCTTGTTTTCTGCTCAGCTGACGACCAGCTGAAACTTTCAGCTGTTTTAAATCAGGTTCACTGTCTGATTCAGACCTTTTTTTCCTTCTTTTTTTTTTTTTAAACACTTTGTTTTATTTACATACGTTTTAAAATTTTACGTAAGTATTATATTTTCTATTATTTACATATTTATATAACATTCTCAAACTTATTTTACGTCTTAAGGAGCAGCGTGAGGGACGCTCGCCTCCTCTTCTTACAGTTCAAACCTTCAGTACATTTCAGAGAGTGAATTCTGCTTCTGCTGCCTGTGGTTAAGTCACAAACTATTATTTTTTCCTGTTAGCTCACACGCAGCATGTGAAAGTTTAACCAGATATTAATTAAAAAGGCTCCGAGTTGCCCCCCCCCCCCCCCACAGTTTATTAACCTGATTATTTTGGCATAAGAGACACATGAACACATCGCGCCTGTTCTGGCCTCACTCGACCGGCTCCCGGCCCGTTTTAGGATAAACATGACGATCTTCTTGTTGGTTTTTAAATCACTAAATGGGGTCGGCACATTGTTATATTTCAGACCTCTTAAGCCTACGCCACCTCGAGGTTTATTCCTGGTGCAGCAGTTTGTAAGCCTTGTTTTTAAAAAAGTGTCTATCAATAAAAAAAGAAGGATGATATTGGAAGAGATGAGGACTGAGATCGTACGCCGATTACAGTTTGTGTTTCAAGGCGCTAAAAGACACATTTCTCTCTCGTATATCTGACGGTATTAAATTAAGACGCGTGTCCTGCTCCGACAGTAAGATCGCCGTCCTGGCTTGTGCATAAGAGTGACTGAGGTGTGAAATGACTCCATCAGACTGATGTACAAGGCTGCAGGTCTGAAAGAGGCTCGTGCTGACGGGAGATTCACGGCTTCAGGATCCACGACTCTTTCACACGCTTCTCACGATGGTTAGTGAAGCCAGACAACTGAACGATACTGAACTGGCTTGGCGGTACAGGCCCCAGCTCTCACCACAACACACAGACTTCCTGTGTTTTCTGGGAAGGCCGGTGGCAGCAGAACTGAGCTCAGATCTGTTCAGTCAGCGACCACAACCCTCAAACACCAGCTGTGTTTCTTTTCCACTGCACAGGCTGTTTGAGGCTTTCTGTAATGTGTTTTCCATCTCGTGGTTCAAGTTCAGAGTCACAAAGAACAAAGAAACGCCACTTATTTCATTTTAGTTGTTGTTGTTGTTGTGCGTTATTGTGCATAAAGCTGCTGCTGAGGAAGCAGACGAAGGAAACTCAAGTGTGATTCACACTGAGAGTTCAGGCTGAAAACATCAGAGCAAAATGAGCTTTTCATTAACAACCTGGAAATGATTTATAACATTAGTACAGACACTAACAATATACACACACACACACACACACACACGCTAGAGAGGTCACGAGAACTGATACTTTGGTGCCAAGTCCAGACTAAATTTCTGAAAACATAACAAAACCAACACGTGGAGGAGCACGATAAGTGCAGCTGCAGCAGCTCCGCCTCGACTCGTACTTTGGAAACCGAGTTAGTTTCGGGGCCGTTACCCATAATAGCTCTGTGTCAAACCTCGATTTCTCGAGAGCTAATTCAGGCAGAGGTTTCACAGATCGACCACCCGAGAGTCACCAAAGATGACGATGCAGTTTGCAGCTCTAAGAACTGAATATCTGTCCGACGCGCCTGTTACTGTAGGAGGACGTAGGGACTGTCTGAAAAGGTCAATACGATCCATTCAGTCATCAATAACTGTAGTTCCCCCCCGGTATAAAAATCTCAGACCACTGCCAGCATAGATTTCACACATGAGAGTTTGTAAAGAAAGCCTGGAACTAAAACCCAGGACCTTCTTGCGGGGAGGCGACAGCGCTGCACAGGTTCTGTCATAGTAACGGTATAAATCTGTTGCGTCTCTCTGTGGAGCAGCGAGTTCATTACGTCGCCGCCACGGTCAGCCTGTGCACGAGGACATGAAGGAAAGTAATTTTGTCGTTTCAAGTTACGGTTTTGTTCAGATATACAAAGAATGTGTCTGACATGCACCAAAGAACATTTCAGCATAAACAAGTGCTGCTGCTTTTTATATTTTACCAATAAATGCATTTCAGGTCAAGTACATTTACTTACACAGCAAGAACATCACATGTTGACCAAAAGGCTTCAGAGAAGAATCTGAAGAAACAACCATGTGGTTGTAATAACATGACTTCATGTGGCCCCTGGGGACAAATCTAGGGGATTTTGACTGTGCACAGCGCCACAGAGCAGAAGAACCTGATGGAAGGATATTTTATTTACTCTGTAACAAAATAACTTTGCATTAGGTCACATGACACGGTTTAAATCAACTGTGAACACACACAAGTGCGGATGGCATTCGGCACCACGTTGGTTTCGATCGTTTGAGCAGGTTATGTATTTAACAAGCCGGCATGCGGCGCGCCTGCTGCCGTGAAAACGGATTGCGGGTGGAAGAATCAACACCGTGACGTCTGCAGCGATTAATCGTCTGTCGGCCCAACGCCACATCATAATCATTCATGAGAGAAACTCAACTTTGTCAAAGTGACCACGTCGCTTAATTTTGCTATCCTGCATCATCTTTCACACCCGCACACACCCGCACCCCCCCTCTGCTGTGCAGGACGCCTGCAGCGGAAAATTATTAGACTTCACAGATTCAGGAATGAGGAAATACTCAATCAGCACATTATGATATGCAGTGAGATCTTCAGAGGCTTTGCTATGAATTAAGAAGACAGACAACACGAGAGCGATTTGGATTTTTTGTGAATTTCCACCTTCATTTAAGAGTTTAATCCTCTGATTATTAACCCCTGACCCCTGGCTCTCTGGGTTTTCTAAATTAAGAGCATTTAGGATAATTCAGTTTTAGCCTACAGACGGGCAGCATCTCAGAAACTGGCCCGTTAATTTAGATCTCCTCCCTAAAAATCCCCGAGGCTGCAGAGCTCGCCGTCTGACCGTTCAGCCCCGGAGGAACCAGTCAGGATGGAGTCTAACAATATTTTATCATTGTTGTATAATAACGGATCTCAGGAGCGCAGATGTGGTGTGTAGTCCACGTGTACAGGGTAACCACCAGTTAACCACAAAGATAAGCTGCTTGGAGCAGTTTAGAGATGCAGCATTAATCACCATGGCAACAGACCTCGGTTAACACCTATCCACCTTTCGATGCAACGGGTCTATCAGGAAGTTACCTCGACGTTACCTGGATAAACCGGTTGTTAATATTCTGCCCTCTTTACACTGGTCGTTGCGTACTCACCCTCTGACTCCGAGTCAGTCCTCACTGACGCCGCAGATGGTGGTCTGGGTGGGCGGGGCTTCGGTGTGGGCGGGGACATCCTCTTTCTGCCGACAAACTCCACGTACGTCCCCGGGAAGTCGCCTTTCTCCTGCCGGGCCAGAGAGGGACGAGTTAATAGGGACGTACAGGCGTTTAAATCAAACATAAACTGTGTGTTCTTTTATTCCGAAGTGTCTGAGAGCAGCGACACGTTTATTCTTACATATATCTCTAAATATGCTGGTTTAATCATCAAGAATGTTTGTTCCAGTTGTACATTTATGTTATAATATAATAAACGAGTGCACGATTTTGAAAAATAGGACAGAAATACGGGAACCCTGCATGTTCGTCCCAGTGGACACAGGAACATCTCTGGAGAAGGACGTGCTTTACCTAAATATTGCTTCTCAAATCCAGACAAATCTTCTCCTCTTCTTTCACAGACACACAACACAAAAAGGTTGAGTCAACATTTCTCCATTTTAACTGGTCATCAGTGTGATTTCTGTATAGTCAGCAGCTGCGAGCCGCTGCAGGCCAGTTTAATTACAAACTAAAGGAGCACCACATGCTGGAAAAACAATCGTGCTGCGTTCGGGTGCCGCTCGGGAAGGTCTCATTCACAGAGTTAATCAAACGTTTCTAACCATCAAACCTGTCGTCCGCCATGTTTCAACGTGTATGAGGTCAACGACTCGTGTAGCAAAACTTCCAAGTTGTTGTTGTTGTTGTTTGGACTTCAGGGGGAGTTTTCTCCAGTTGGGAAATCATTTTTATTTATTTTATTTTTTTAATCAATGCACAATGAAAAGGTGCCGATAATTTTCTCCAGTCCATGTTTAGAGTTCTGTGTGGAATCTCTCAGATTTGGCTTTTCTAAAATCTGTTCTCAGTGCAAATAAAAAGAAAAACATAAACAACAACGACGCATTTGTAATTTGACATTTTTCTGAAAGAAGTTACGTGACAGACATGCAGGGGTGCAAATATTTCTGTAAAGCATTTATAAAGCTGCAGCAGTGAAACCATCCACAGATGAATGGATTAATAACCGAGCAACAAAAAGAAAATGTCCTCCAATGTAAATTAATCATCAGTCATTAATTAATTTCCTCTGTCTCACACCTTCAGCGATCTTTAGCAGTTGCCACAGGGTAAATAAAGAGTAACGTGTCGCTGTGTGAAGCCGTTTCACTGCTGGCTGGGTGAGAAAGATGATATCAGTCAAACATGCAGAAGATTTTACGCAGAGTGAAAGGAAAGTTTGACTCTGTGAAATGATAAGACAAGATAACATCAGAGTCAACACAAGCTGTCTGAGCCGACAAGGTGTGTGTGGTGGGGGGGGGGGGGGGGGCAACACAGAGTCTCCGTCGTGGCGTCAGTTTTAAAATACAGCTGCAGAGTTTCACCAAAGTGTCCAACTTTCCCCCCAAAAAACAAAAAAAACAAATCACGTCCCAGCTCTGAAACGATTCTCTACAGCTCGACGGAGCTCTGAGGAGATTTACTGCAGATCAACAGCGAGCGCGGTTTGTGGTGGTTCATCAGTGAAGACAGCGTTTCCTCTGCACAGAGCAGAAATGGAAACTTCAGACCGCCTGGGGAGGTGTGAAACTGAGGTGTTTGTTTTGATGTTTGTGTCAAAGACTCTCCAAACTAAGTGACAGTAAAACAGAGGCGTTTTCAGCTGCGTAAGTTCAACATAGAATCATTTAAATATTTGATCGACTTTTGCTGCTTTTCCATTGCTGGTATCAACTCGACTCGCTTCGGCCCGCCGGCCTCCGTTTTCCATTGTGCCCACTCAGTAGCCGGGTGATGTCACGGTGGCTACGCCTACGTCTGTCTATCAGGTCTGGACAATCCATTGAAAAGTAACTCAGACATCATTTTGCCATGTCTGTTCATTTGGTTATTAAATCCTAGAATGTGTGCGTTCATCAGAACAGAAAACAAACATTCAATTAATTTAGATTTTAGGTGAAATCGTCCACCCTACCGTCTACGAACATTACTGAAAACGTGTCTGCGCAGCCGACTGCGTCTACCCGGTCGGCGCGGCGTCGTACCTGAGTGGTCTCGTTGAAGCCCGGCAGCCAGCCGATCTCCGACGGCCGTTCTTCGGCTCCGTTAGTGCAGCCGAGCGCCAGCAGCGCTCCTTTAGTGACCAGCAGTATGTCTCCGACGTGCAGGTCGATGTCCTCCTCCCGCTCCTTCTTGTAGTCGTACATCGCTCGGTACTGAAAGCCCTCCGAGCTCATCATGGCGGCTGAATATGGCTTCACAATATCTTAACAAAAACAGCTCTGGGTATAAAAATATAAAAATAGGGTTTCTTCGTGTCCTGAGTGGATCTAACGAGGAGAAGCTAGACTAAGTAAACATGGCGTCTCCAGCTGTCTGTGTGTGTCTCCCCTGTCTCCATGTCTGCTGAAGTCCTGTCATCCCTCCAGGCCGAGCCACAGCCGCTCAATCAAAGCATCCTCGCCGTTCATGAACAGGAGTCTCAGCAGGGGCGGGGGCCACATCTGGGGAGACGGCGAGTCAACCTGCGAGACCAGAGGAGGACAACGTTTAACGATGAGCGGAGGGAAGCAGGACACATGTAGGGCTCAAAACAAGTAGTTAGTCGAGAGAGAAAATGTGTCAGCCACCACTTTAATGATCGACTGATCGCTTATTTTGGGACATTCCCCTTGGATTCTGTGAGCACTGTAACGTTTCTCTACACTTCATGAGAGAAAATAAGACAATAATCTTTAACTGCTGCCCCTAAAAGAAAAATCCTACTACACACGATTAGCTTTTGATTTACTGACAACAGTCGTATACACGTCCCTGAGGTTTACAGACAGAGACTGAAGATCTGAAATTAAGAACTAGTAGAGAATATAAGAAGAACAAAGAACTAGAAAACTGATTCAAACAGAAAGCAGACAATGAAACCAAAAAAGCATCAAAGACTCAAAATAAATAAATAATTGACTGTTGAGAAACATGTCGATCAAGCAGAGGGTCGTTTTAAAGACTGGAGGACGAGACTCTTCATTAAAAGCTGTTCTGTCCCGTACAGACACAAATCCTGACCTAAAACGTCGTCCCAACAACAAAAGTTATCCAATGTTGTAGCAGCCGTACGAGACAATTATCTAATAAAAAGACAGACTAAAACTGGAAAAATGACGCTTTAAAAATCAGGAACTCTCAGATCAAAAAACAAATCAAGAAAATTATGAATCTTTAAACTTTTCAATTTAGCCAAATAAAAATAAATTAAAAAAAAAGGTTGAACATGAGCTCTGGATTTACCTGCGCACGATGTTAGCGCTACGTGCCTTTCTACACTCACTGGGCAGTTTTTGAAGAACCTAATATTTACCTCATGTTGGGTGTAAATATTGCTCTTGCTAACTTCACCTGAGGGCAGAGGCAGGTAGTTCAAGTAGTCACGTAGCCTACGTGGAGGAGTCACCGGTGAGCAGCTGGAGGCAATTAGGAACCGGGGACGCCACCCAGTTTGTAAACTGCACATGTGCTGGTTTTGCACAAACTATTAATGTATAGGAATAAATACAGTGTCAAACACGTATTCAGTGGCAGATATCTTTCTTGCACCATCAGGCTTCAAATGCACCCGAGGGGCTTTTTTGTTGTTGGACTGCCACCACAGAGAGAAACCTGCTCTAACTAAAGTTAACAAAAACATCCCCTGGATTTTGTTTTCACTTTGACTGAATTAAAAATATGACAAGAAAGTGAAATTTAGTCCAACACTCAAAGATAGTCCATTCACATTGATTTACAAGGACCAATCAATTAGTCAAAAACAAACAAAATCTACCAGCAATTGTTTAATTTTTTTAAGCTAAAATCTCTCATATAGTGGAGAATGTGTGATGATAAACACATTTTAAACTGTCATTAGCCTTATAGTCTAGACAACAAAAGAAAATGATCAAATCCTCACATGGAGAAGCTGGAGTCAGAGAATTACTAATGTTTGCCTGAAAAAAAAAAAAAAAATGATTTAAATTAATTTTCCTGACCTAAAAATATTCAAATTATTTTACCTCTGATCTATCTGATTTTTCCCTGCCGGAGATCAATGAAGTATTTCTGATTTTATTTTATTTTTTAAACTGTAGTTTAATTTCTCAAGTGTTTTCTTGCTTTTATAGTTTTTGTTATCTGTTTAATGTGCGTTTTATTGTCTTTGTACTGGTGAAAGCACTTTGTAACGTTTTATTTATTTATTTTTTAAAGCGCTCTATAAATAAAGATTTTATTATTAAAATAAAAAACATGTGTGTTGTGTTGCTATGCTCGGGGGGGGGGGGGGGGGGGGGGGGGGGGGGTTCCTTGGATTATTTTATTATTATTTGCCGAATGACTTGTCATTTTCCACTTACATACTTTCTATTATTATTTCTATTGATTATACTATGATATGCAAGTGAGCAATGCGTTACAATGAATTTCCCCTCGGAGATCAAGTAAGTATTTCTGCTTTCTGTGTACATTAGAAGGATAAAGAATATGTCAGTTTAAACACTAAAACTGGTGGTTAATCACGTTAACGCACCCGTTCCTGTCAGACAATAATCACCGAAAAGCAGACTACATGTAGGGAAATATATTAATTAAATTAAGGCCGTATGGATGAAAACACAATTTTAAACATAGATCACCATTTTAGTTTTTTTAAATATCCATATTTTACGGATTAAAGCTAAAACGCGCACTAAACTCGGTGAATTGTAAAGGGGCTTTGGTGCTGTAGCGTAGTGGCAGTAGAAAAGACGGAAAAGCAGATCGGACTGAAAAGAAGAGGTACTTTCCGACTAACAGCATTAAACAAACAGAGAAAAAGAGTTTTTATTTCACCTTTAACTATCCTCCTACAGTTAAGCTTTACAGTAATACTACAAAATGTTATAAAATAGTGTCCTAAAAGCACAGACGCTCTGAATCCCTCCAGGAAACGACGATGCATGCCAGCGCTAGCTTAGCCTGCTAGCTTGTGTCAATCGCTTCAAACGTCTCACCTTTTTGTTAATCTTTCACCGATTAAAGCATCCCGCGGAGCAAACAGCGGACTTCATCACGGAGCAGCGAGCAGACACGACGTCCAGGTGTTTGAAAACTGAAATAGTCCGCTTTGTTTTAAGCGATTACTTCCAAAGATGTGCTTCGGTCGACTGAATTTTAAGGAGCTACCCTGGTGTCAAGCTAGCAGGAAAAGGAAAAGTATTTCCGGTACGGACCGTCAAAGTAAAACAAGTGTTGCTGTATTAAAATCATACCAAAAACTAAATACATTCAGTTTTAAGGCAAAAAAATAAATAAATTGATGTGTTAAAAATAAGTATAGAATTTATACTATATATGTCTTCCAATGTCTACTTTAACGATACGTTTTTGGTTTGTACTAGCATTAATAAAGCGAGTACAATTTGCATGTTCCGGGCGGCTTTCATAATAAAACACTTCTTGCAAACATGTATTTCACAGCTCCAGCGACAAAATCACGTCATATTTGGGTGATAGTGTTAAAAAGTCTGAACATAATTTATCATTTTTACACAACCTTCCTATTCAAGAGGCCGTAACCGCGGATTTAAGACATTACAGCTGGGACGTGGGGGCTGGTCACCGACGTCACATCCGGTGGCCTAGATTTTAATGCAGTGTGCAGCGCTGTCAAGACGAGGGACCACAGCAACAAAAGACTGTGTGTCTGTGAGATGGGGGGTGTCCTCATTTATTCAGGACTTACAATAAAGCACCAGAGGCTTTGGCGGATGTGTGTGTGTGTGTGTGTGTGTGTGTGCGTGTGTGTGTGTGTGTGTGTGAGAGGTTTTTTCTTTCTGTGTCAGTGTAAAGCTGGGTGACTCCCGCATCATGTGACTGCTGCGGCTTTTCCAGAACACACTGTACATCACATGCAAAACTGCACGTCCATCCATCCGCTCACCACCGTGACAGACAGCTTCATTAAAAATATTTATTTACATCACAGTGATCAATATAAAAAATATACAAGCATTTGTTCTCATATTCATAAATATTCAACAGACACATGTTGGAGGGTTCAACCCTCAGTTCAGTCCATTAATGAAGCAGTAATATGAATAAAAACATGGATCGAGACGCCGGGTGAGCGATAACAGACCGCCAACCTCACTTACTGTCAATATCTCATCAATATCTTGTCGTTATGAGCATGGGATTCAAGACAAACTGCACCAAGTTCATGTTGATACGCACACAATTACCCTGTAAAGTTATTTTATTATCCAGCACAGAATCTAAATGCTTGTACTGGTTCCGGCAAACAACCCAGAACTAGTTGCTGATCATCAAACCAGCATCCCAATTAGATCAAAATAAAATCATTCGGATTCATCCTCTGGGGGGCAAAAACATAAACATACAGTTAATGTAACAGATGAAATCATGAAGACTGCTGCTGAGAAGAGTCTCAGAGTTTGATGATAAAATATAAATATTGTTTGTCAGTGCGACCACAACATCTGCGTCTGTCTGAGGCTGCTCTACATGCTGAAGACGGTTCCCAGTCTGTGGACCGACAGGTGGATCCTCCCCGACAGCTGCAGCTCCTCCTTCAGGAAGCGTCCCACCTGCTCGGAGTGGAGAACGTCACAGAACACGCAGATCTCCGCCCGCTCCCTCTGGATGTTGGCGTTGCACGTCGGCAGCTTTGAGCTCCGGACGGACCGGCTCAGAGCCCGCCACACCTGCAGGGGAGGGGCGCCGACAGGTGGGGTGAGGGGAGGAAGATGATGACACGGAAAACAGAAGGTGAGTGATTTCACTCATTTTTCTGTTTACCAGACACATTTCATGATGATTCATGAAAACAAAACTCCAACAACAACAACAACATCTGTAGCTTTGTTTGACTCAACTTCCAAAACAAACCGAAATATTCACTTTAATACCATGTAGGACAAAAACAGCATAAAGATTTTATATTCGAGAAGCTGCAACCAGAGAATTTTTTGCCATTTTTACTTGAAAAATGATTAATCGGTTATTAAAATAGTTGCCCATTAATTTGTCATATTATCTCAGTCTGTTGGGACTTGGCTTGGGAACCTGAGGGTCGCTGGTTCAAATCCAGCAAGGACCAAAGGTTGAAGGTGACCCTGAACAAGGACCTGCTCCCCGGGCGCCGCACACAATAGCTGCCCACTGCTCCCAATCAGCACTGGTTAAATGTAGAGAACGAATTTCCCTTCACAGGATCGATAAAAGTATGGAGGGAAAATTATATATATATATTTATAAATTAGTCTCAGCTCTAGAAACAGATGTTTCGATTGAACCACTGACCTCCCGTTCACAAGCTCGCTTCTCTAACCTTCAGGTCACCGCTGCCTACTATCATGAGAGGCGTCTTTGACCTGATTCGGTCTGAACGAGGTGATGGAGGCAGTGAGCACGCTGGGAAAAACGGCGATAAAGATCCACAGTCAAAACACACGAAAAACATAAACACAATCCTGCAGGTCAGCATTTATTCCAGCACAGCTCAGACCGTTTCCTGCTGAGGGACGCAGATGATGCAGACGCTAGATAACAAGTGCGACAGTAACGTCACCTTTAACTCTGCAGGTCGATCCACGATGACACTTTCACTTTCAGACAGTTGACCGCTAATTTGACCGAGCGAGCAGCACGTCGGTCTGTCTGTGCTCCACTTTGCTCCAGACCGGAACATCTCAGCAGCTGCTGGATCCATGCAAATGTGGTTCAGACCTTCATGTTCGCCTCAGGATGAACCGAAAGAACTTTGGTGATCCTCTGACTTTTCATCTAGCGCCATCATCAGGTCAACATGTGTCCAACACTTTGGTTTTTGTTTGTTTGTTCTCAAAGAAAGTAGCTCAACGACGCCCCGACACTTTGGTTTATGACCAAATACCCGCAGAACTGACGATATTCCCATCAGCCTCAGCTGTACGCTGTCTATACTGTCACTTACTAGAGCCTGACCGATCAACCGGTGTACGGATATTATCGGCTGATACGAGCTAATTGCAGGTGAATCATTATCTGTGTTTATAACAGCTGATAAATGACAATTTGAAAGAAACAAAGCGACGGAAAACTCTTCAATCATCTTGTGAGTGGTGTCGTTTGTCCACCAGAGGGCGCTCTGCAGCTCCTCTCTTGGCAACACCGTCTCTCTCTACTGGCTGTCAAATAAAAGGCAAAGCATCACTGTTTCAGCCTCACAGAGCTGCACACTTGTCCTGTTCATCTACTGACCTGTTCGATGTCCCTGGCGGCCCCACAGTTGTGCTGACCGATCACCCATTTGGCCCTCTGGCGGAGGTGGAGCCGGTGGACGGACACCATGCGATGGAACGGCTTGGACAGCGACTGGGAGGACTGCGGCAGAACTCCTTTCTGTGCAAAGACGCTCCACGACCGTTTGACCGGCGAGTCTGTGACGGGGAAGCCGTCTTTGTGTTTGTCAGGAGACGGTCCGCCGATCGCTCTCTCTGAGACGGGGAGGAGACGGTTTGGGGTTTCGGAGACTCCGACGTCATCGTTGGGTTTTTGTGGATTCTTCTGTCTCGTCTCTGCACGTGGACCACGATGAGGTTTTTCAGCAACAACACCGTCTACCTCAGGCTTCCGTAGCGTGTTTTGTGCTCTGCTGCCAGAGACGAGGAGATCAGCAGAGGAGGTGATGACGGGAGCTGGTCTGGCAGGTCTGATGGGCAGGTGGCGGTCTGCGGACGAGGGGAACCAGGGGATGAAGGCCGGAGGAGTCCGACAGGGGAAAGACTCCAGGAGCTTCTCGGTCCTCTCTAACAGAGAGCTGAGTCCAGCAGCAGATCCAGGCTGATAGTGCAGAACCACATCCTCCATGCAGACGGACAGAGATCAGAGGACTGCTCGCACCACCCTCCTCCTCTTCATCTTCCTCCTCCTCATGATGATGTCGCCTCAGCTGGACAATGCAAAGGGTAGAACACCGGTTACTTCTACCGTTACAGTCTTCTACCCTCAGGCCAGAGATCCAGATCACTCACATTCAGGACTAAGAGAAAGCGACTTACAATTGCTACACATGTCAGAGGTCGCACGCCTCTGGAGCGACTAGGGGTCAAGTGTCTTGCTCAGGGACACAATGGTGGACGTGTCACATTGGGAACTGAAGCTGGGTCTCTCACACCAATGACAGCGTCTTATCCACTGGGCCGTCACTTTTTTATTACTTTTGATAGTAAATAATAAATCTTTAGGTTTTTAGACTGTTGGTTGAACAAAAGATGCAATTTTAAAGACGTTATTTTGAGCTCTGGAAAATTGTGATGAGGGTTTTTTTTTCACACTTTCTTTACATTGTATGGACTAAACGATTAATCAGTCGATAATGAAAATAATCATTAGTTGCAGCCCTGGTTACCAGCTTCATTAGGGTTTGGAGAGAAGAGATGCAACCTGGGAAACAGCCTGAGGTTATTTGTAATTTTTTATCCAGATGTTTAGAAGAATCTGAATTAATCAGCAGTAGTGACTTTTGTTAAACGTCCTTTAAGGTTTTATATTTCAGAAACATGATGCTGAGCCTTAGTTTGGGTTTTCCCACCAATCAGCAGATGTCATTCTGTATCTATCTACTGAGTTTAAAAACTGTGCAAATCCAAAATGTTCAGTGAAACTGCTGCCACCTGGAGCCAAAGACTCTGACTGTGGATTTTGGAGGAATTATTTCCTGAGGATTTCCTTGTCTTTCTCCTGTTGTCAGCTGATTTGCAGGAAACACACGGCAGCTTTTAAAAGTAAAAACACCGACTTAACCTAAAAGCTGAATGAACGAGCTGCTGAGGACAGAAACATAAAATCAGCTCCACTAACTTCAGATCAAACGTTTAATTCACGGCATTAAAAACAAACGGAACATTTAGCTTTATGATTTATTTCACTGTTCCAGTTTAATACAAGCTAAAACTGTTTTCTCAAGTAGTTCAGGAGGAGCCGGTTTTGTAAAGTCAGCCTCACCGGAGCTAATGTTTTTAGCTTCTTCTGCTAGCTGTTGTTAGCTAAACACGGCTAACTAACTGGCTAATTACCCCCCAGCGCGCCGTTACAGGTGATAAATACCCAGCGGGTAGTAACGCCCACCTGAACAGTCCAACAACACACAATACCTTTACCTTTTTATCACCTGACCGTGTCCTCTGTCAAGCAGCTAACAAGGAGTTA